TTAAACGGAAGGGCAAGTTCTATAGAAGAACTGTGAGACCAGCTTTGCTTTATGGGGTGGAATGTTGGGCTGTCAATAAACAACATACCCACAGAATGTTTGTAGCTAAGATGAGGATGTTGAGATGGATGAGTGGCAAGACAAGAATGGACAGAATTCGTAATGAATACATTCGAGAGAATTTAAGTGTGGCACCAATAGGCGATAAGATGAGAGAAAGTAGACTTAGGGGGGCTTGCCATGGGAGGCGTAGACCTAGTACAACACCTGTTAGGAGGTACACGTTAGTTCAAGTGGAAGGCTCAAAAAGGGCAAGTGGTGGACCCAAAAGTACATTGTTGAAAGTAGTGACAAAAGAGATGGGGACTTGTGGCCTCACTGAGGGTATTGCCCTTAATAAAGCAGAATGGCGGACTAGGTTTTGTGTAGCTAATCCCAATTAGGTGGGAAAAGGTTCTGATAATGATGATGATGAATTTAAGTAAACTTATGGGGGATTTTTATAATGGTTTAACTTATGTGGGGCTAGTTTTAATCTTTTCTTATTATGATTTAACAAAAGGGCCTGGGGTGTTAGGGTTACTAACACTTTTTGGGGCATGAACGATAAAAACAGACTTTGAATAATGCCAACAATGCAGCCGGAGTTTTATGTGATCTCTGCATTCATTTAAGCGGAGGGCAAGTTTTATAGAAGAACCGTGAGACCAGCTTTGCTTTATGGGGTGGAATGTTGGGTTGTCAAGAAACAATATACCCATAGAATGATTGTAGATAAGATGAGGATGTTGAGATGGATGAGTGGCAAGACAAGAATGGATGGAATTCGTAATGAATACATTCGAGAGAATTTAGGTGTGGCACCACTAGGCGATAAGATGAGAGAAAGTAGACTTAGGTGGGCTTGCCATGGGAGGCGCAGACCCAGTACGACACATGTTAGGAGGTGCACGTTAGTTCAAGTGGAAGGCTAAAAAAGGGCAAGCGGTGGACCCAAAAGTATATGGTTGGAAGTAGTGACAAAAGAGATGGGGACTTGTGGCCTCACTGAGGGTATGGCCCTTAATAAAGCAGAATGGTAGACTAGGTTTTGTGTAGCTAATCCCAATTAGGTGGGAAAAGGCTCTGATAATGATGATGATGAATTTAAATGGACTTATGGGGGGATTTTTATAATAGTTTAACTTATGTGGGGCTATTTTTAATCTTTTCTTATTATGATTTAACAAAAGGGCTTGGGGTGTTAGGGTTTTTAACACTCTTTGGGGCTTGAACGATAAAAACAGACTTTGAATAGTGCCAACAAGTCCTATCTAAGGTTTTGGGGTATTGTTTTGTGCATAGAAAGCCAAACCAACTCAATTCCGACCTGTTTTGAAGGTTATTGAATTGTTTGTGGTCTATTTTCCCAATTTTCTTGCACCAAATTGGTAGTAGAGCAAGGCTTTCTTTAATAAGAAAGCTAGGAAACTACAACAAGTTTAGGGTTTGCTTATTTTAGGCCAAGTTTTTCCAAATTAGCCTAGAACTTACTGGTTTCAGCTAAACTTTGTTGGTTCTTTGTCTAGGGTTTTTAATTTCAGTGAACCTATAACAACAAAAAGAGTTCGAGGCAGGGGCATTCATATGGATCCACCTCGTCATAAGTGGGATCAGGTGATAAAGGATCTGAGACGACAAGTTCAAGAACTTACGAGGCGGCTTGCAAGAATTGATTGTGGGTGAGATGAAGTTTTGTCTGTCCAAGATGATGTTGAGTGCGACCTTTTCACTATCGTGCTCTGCATGGTGAATCAAGGAAGACGAATATGATCAGAGATATGTGCGGCACTCAAAATCCATACATCTAAAAGTACATATTCCTGATTTCTTTTTATCAAAAAAAAGAAGATATTCCTGATTTTGAAGGAAAGTCGCAACTCGGCAACTCTATGAACTGGTTAAACACTGTAGAGAGGGTCTTTGATTACAAGGATGTGCTAGAGAATGAAAAGGTGAAAATTATTGCCAGTAAGTTGAATAATAGTGCATCCGAATGGTGGGAACAATTGCAAGCAAGGCGAGAAAAAAAGTGGAAAACTAAGTGTGTGTTGTGGGAGAAGATGAAGGAAAAATATCTCCCTGAAAAGTATTTACAGTCTTTGTATCAAAAGATTTGCGCGAGGAGATAGATCTGTGGATGAATACACAGTTGAGTTTCACATTTTGAGTGCCCATAGTGATGTGATTGAGCTGAAGGAGCAGTCCATTGCCAGGTATGTGAATGGTCAATGCCAATCGATTCAAGATGTGGTTGTTTTGCAATAGTATTAGACCTTTGATGAGGTCTATAACCTTGCAAAGAGGGTTGAAATTCAGCAGAAACGTACCTCGAGCAGGTTGGGTGCGGGTGCGGGTGATGGGGGGAATATGGCAGTAGCCCGTGGTGGTGATTTTGAAGGAAAAGGCTGTCTGATGGGTGCTGGTTTGACATCTCGCACTGCTGGAATGACCAACCAGCAAGATGCCCTGGTCCCATCTATGATGAGCCAGTTGTTGAAGAGGGGACCCGGAAGTGACCTATAGTGATCATTGGGAGGCATTAGTGCTTCGGCACAACGTGATGACATCCTGAGTAGTAAACGAGGCAGTTTGGTTAAACCCGAAGAATTTCTCATCAGTTGGCTTCCAAAATCAGCAAGGCATTGGTTGGGACTCTCCACTGGTCTTTGATGAGTGTTTAGGTGAAGAAGGTTGTGATCCAATTTTTGATCAAGAAGCAAGTGAAAACAAGGAAGGGGACAATGGTCAAGATGAAGAGGTTTTGGAAGAGGAAGTTGTTGATTTGATTAGTGAACTATGGGTTGGATAGATCATCTTGAAGATGCTCCCTTGGTCTGTTCCAAGGCTGAACTAAGGCAATTTGAGCAAGGTTTATTGGCTGTATTGATGTAATTTCAGCTGGTTCATGTGACTGAACCAGATGTACATATCACAATTATTCCATCGACATGTAATGAGCCTTTCCTCGAGGGGTTCTCTAAAGTGTTTGTGGGTATATCAACTGATTGCAAAGAGTTTCAATGCACAACCATTGTGTTTTGATTAGTCCAGCAACTCACAAGTCCTTTTTAGTATTTGGGTTGAAGGAGGTTGCAAGACTAACGCAAAATTCATTTTAGCTTATTTCAAAACTTGAGGACGGGTTTTCTCCAACCAGGGCAGAATGATGCAAGACAAGATGTGTCTTATATTTGAATTTTCCTTATTAATTTTTAAGGATGTATTTTTGAATATTTCTAGGGTTATTTCTTAGGGGTTTTAAGTTCTTTGAGGGATTCTAGGATTTTTTATATTTTTTAGGATTTTAGAAGATGTTTAGAGAAGTGGTGAGAATACTTATGGAGTTACTTGTTTATCATACAAATTTTATGTTTTAATTTAAGTGAAGGGACTTATGGGGGACTTTTATAATACTTTAACTTATGTGGGGATAGTTTTCGTCTTTTTTTATTATTATGTAATAAAATTCTGACACTTTTTGGGGTGTGAACTGTAAAAACAATCTGTAAATAGTGCCAACAAGCCTTATCTAGGGTTTTGGGTTCTTTAGTTTTTGCAAGGAAAGCCAAATCCACTCAAATCTGGTCTGTTTTGAAGGTTATTGAACCGTTTTTGGTCTATTTTCTCAATTTTCTTGTATTAGTTGTCTTATGTCTTTATATGGAGTTGCTTAGCAAGGTTTTTATGTTTGGATTTGCTTCTCATTTGTTTGCATTGGGCAAATTGATTTGGAATGCTAGCCATCCGGCAGTGAGGTGTGCTGATGTAGTCTTGGCTTGGATTCTTTGCATTTAGCAAATGAGAAGCTGATTGTAGGGTTGCTATAGGTTGGTTTTGGTGCGGTGTGGATGCTTAAAAATGAGGTCAGGCACATGGACTTTCTTCTGTTCCTTTTTCTTCTTGTTTCAGGCTTTGTTTCTATTTGCAGTGTTGTTTTAACTCCGGGTTTTCTTTATAAACTGTTGGACTTGAACTGTCACAGAAACGTTAATAGGTGGACTGGATTCCTTTCTTTGTTCTTTTTATTATTTCTTGGTTTTCTAATGTGATGCTGCGACCTGTTTATTTTATGTGTTTGTGTGCATTATTCTAAAAACATGTTTGAGAGCTGACATATACCAATGTGACCAATACATATAAAGAAATTCATAGCTTGTTGGTGGTGCTGCACCTTCCCTTGTGCCACTATTTCAATTTTTCTGCTTATGAATGATGGCTAACTTGGGGAAGCACATGTGGAACACAAACTTCACGTTACATTTCATTATATGAACTTACTTTTCATTTATATGAACATTTGATTACTTAGTATCTAGTCTGGTGTTTGGAGCATGGCCTGGCAAAATAATTCATCATGATGGGTGTTGCATGGCACTAATAAATGCAATGGAAGAAAATGAAGCCTCATGTCTTTTCATTTGCATGTAGAATAAGGGCTAGGAGTAGTGTTTTACTAACCCTAGCTATTGTATAAGTAGCTGGCAAACAGGGGGATCTTGTCTGTCATGGAATTTGTCATATAGTGAGGAAAACGCATTGGGAACTGTTCCTTATATGAGGAAATGCCTTGGCAACTGTTCCCTAATGCAACCTTACTTAACAAATCTTGTTGCAAATCATCTCTTCCTGACATTTGTGTTGATGGTGATTATGTAAGAATTATTGACTATAAGCTACTAGGTCATATTTGTTAGTTATCGGAAAAATTGTACTATCTATGTTGCCTCTGCTTTTTGAACTATAACCTGTCTTTCTATGTCTTGTGCAAAACGTTTTGTATGGCATTGTTTTTTGGGTACTGCACTTTTATAATCTTTTAATTCTCTCACTCGATATTTTGACATTGTGATGTTCTTAAGGTTTTATCTTGAAACTTTCTCTGCTATGCATTTCTTTTCACCCAACACATGCTAATACTTTCTTATTTTTATGTATCCCTTTTTTACATCATTCTGCAGGGCTCGATGTTAATGATATCATCGAAAAAGTTTCTGAATTTTACAAGAGTGGTTGTGCTATGGTTGGAGAAAAAAAGCTGTCCCTGGAAAGGCCATTCGAATCATTGAAGAAGTTTCTAGATTGTGAGAAATGGTTGGCTGAGCAGTTTTCAGTTGAGAGTTTTGGTTGTTTGGGGTATGGGAGCTTTTTTGAGTTCTTATATAAACATCACTCCTTGCTTCCTTTTGAACTCTCTCGAGATTTGGCAGCGGAAACAGTTGGTAAGTTCCCCATTACAGTTTTTATGTTCCATAGTCAGGTTCGAGAGCTACTGTTACAAGCTCAATTCGAGTTGGGGAATGCCAGTACAGTGACCAAGGATCAAATTGTTACCCTACTCCAGAGACAGTTTCCTTTGGTCAGCTTTGAAGTAGCTGGGACAGACCTGGAAGATGATTTTATATGGAAACATAACACTTGTTCTTCATCCAGGCGTGTTTTATACTCTGTCACATTGCTTAGGCCTAGGTATAATGGGGATCCTTTGCTGCTTAATGGGGGCCCGTTGCCTGAAAGTGCTGGGAGTCTAACTGAATCGGGCCAAACCACAGGTTCTTTGGGTGTAGTGACTGGAAATGATGCCATCAAGTGCTTACTAAAGGCACCGATACTATCAGATCTTCAGGCATGGTCTCATTGGGACCTTGTATTCGCACCTACACTTGGTCCCTTATTGGATTGGTTGTTAAGTGGAGTCAGTGAGGAGCTATTTTCCATTGTGTCAAAGGATGGAAAATTAATTCGGATTGATCATCTTGCAACGGTTGATGGTTTCTTGGAAGCTGTACTTCAAGGATCTGCTCGGAGAACAGCAGCACAGTTATTATCAGTATTTGCTTTATATGGAGGGATAAATCGATCTCCTGTTTCCCTTTTAAAATGCTATGCACGTCAAGGAATCCAAGTCATGGTGAAAAATTATATTGATTCCTTGAAGGTCACAAATAATGGGAAGCTTTCATCCACAATAGGTGAAGCTTTCATTGGACAGAAAATATTAAATATTGATTCTGCAAATTCTCTTTCGCCTGATTCTCCTGGTTCTAGCTTGGAAGGATCTGTTATTGCAGCTAAGTTTATTCTGGAATGTCTTATTTATTTACCTCCAGAGTTTTGCAGCTCTGCTGCAGATATTCTTCTCTCTGGGTTGAGGTTCACAGCTACGAATGCCCCTGCAACCATTTTGCATGAGTGCATTGAAAATTATCAAATTGATCAACGTGTGATGCTTCATGATATTGGTTTTTCACTAGGCATATTGGAATGGATTGATGACTACCACATATTTTCTTCCTGTTTCGATACTTGGAAAGAAAATAATACCGAGTCTCCCACTGCGACAGGGGTGAACACAAGTAGTTCTATAGTTGTCTTTCCTGCTGATGGCAAGGTTAGTTTGAACCCTGAGGCTCATATTGCTCATTTAAAGGGACAATGTGATGCTTCTACCAATCATGATTGCATACGCAATGTTTCTACTCATACTTGGGTTGAAAATTTGAAAGATAATTCTCTTGCTTCCATGCATAAAGACAAGGATGTCCATGATGCAGCCCAGTTTATTGAGGCCATTAGACGAGAAGAATTTGGATTGGATGCAACTCTTGATCAGGCTAATAGTAGCTTACTAGAAAAGCAGCATGCCCGACTTGGACGAGCATTGCAGTGTCTCTCGCGAGAGTTATATTCCCAAGATTCACATTTTCTGCTTGAGCTGGTGAGCATCCAATCTGTGGACTATGCTTGGAATCTTAAGGTTATTTACTCGTAGCACATAGAAGATTACTAGCTGATGTAGTAAATTATGCACAAATGATGTCATTAGTGTGGATTTTATGCAATATGATACTAATTGCCCTAATCATTATTAATTGCTCCTTGCAATCGATGGTGTCTGTGAGAAGACCTTGTCTGTATATATATCAGGGAGAATAAATAGGGTTATGACTTTTAAATTTATCCGCACTATGATTTTTCCTTCCAAATTTCATTTAAAAGAAAATCTTATCGATCTCTCCTTAGAAGTTTCTTATGTTTTATACAAATTTTATTGTAAGAAAAATTATATATTGCAGAGATCAAATAGGAGGAAATTAAGAAAGAAAACTTACTAAATAACTAAAAAATTAGACAGCTTGTATATGCTAATTATACCAAAATAATAATTATAGAAATAGGACTTTCTGTAACACTATTGAGCTCATCAAAAAAAGGGAAAGAAAAAAAAAAACATTAGAACAACTTTAGATGGGAAACTGTTAACACATTAAAAAAAAGCCGTTAGATGAAAAATTAAGCACCCACAAAAATAATGTTGAATGAATTAAAAATGGAAATAATAGAAAGCTAAAATTAATTAAATATTAAATATTATTTTTCTTCTAAAATATCAGCCAGAGCATTATGTAATGCACTTGCCTATTGCTTTTTTGAGTACAAACTCCGAGAACTAAGTTCCTTTCATAAAATTTATGGGCTGTTTGTTGTTGTGGATATATTTCTATTTGTTCAGTCTTTTGAACTTTTATGGATGGACAACATTCACCTGATTATAGGTCTTTCATGTCTTGTTATTTTGATGGATGACATTCACCTGATTATGATCTTTCATATCTTGTTATTTTTGAGGTCGGTTTACTGGTTTCCTTTTCCCCAAAGCTCATACTCTGCATTAATATTTCAGGTTCAGAATGCGGATGACAACATGTATCCGGAAAATGTGGATCCCACTTTGGTCTTCATTTTTCAGCCTACTAATATTGTTGTTTTAAATAACGAGCGGGGCTTTTCTGCTCAAAATATTAAAGCACTTTGTGATATTGGAAGTTCGACAAAGAAAGGCTTTGGTGCTGGATATATTGGGCAAAAAGGCATTGGATTCAAATCAGTATTTCGGGTACGCTATAGAATCCTTCTGGGTTTATATCTCTAATATGACTCATCAAAATGATACTGATGTGATTGTTATGTGCCATGATATTTGCATGTTATGGTTCAATTTGTTGTTTTGTTACGGTAATTGTCTTGTATTTTGCTTAGGTGCAAATAATTTCTTTGATGTTGAGCACCAAAACGTGAGTTTGGATTCACAGCCCCACACCAAAAAGAATAAGTTCTACAGTAGCGTTTAGCTTAGATAGAATCTCTACACACATTAAGGGGCTTATGTGGTTTTTATGTGGCAGATGGGAGCGGAGACACTGCTTCTAACATTGGCATCAAGCCATCAACTAAGAAATTTGTAGCGTTTCACATTTTCCTCCTGTTTTTTCTCGGACTAGTATTTGAAACCCTCTTTACATTGGAAGGGAAGTCAAATGTCTGCATGTTGAATAGTTTATTTAGCATTTAGTCCTCATATCGTTTCCTGGCCATAACTTCGCCATGGCTGGTCCCAAGCCTGGATAAAGGAGGGGGGTTGTGTTAGGTAGGAAACCAGTGTAAACCTTTTCCCATAGTTGTTGGAGGTGGGAGTAGGATTGGTTCGGGATTCGCCGAACCACACTCTAGTGGAAGCTCCTTGGGGTTAGGATCGTCGTCCATACTATGAACAAGGCAAGGAGCGAGATCCTTAGGTTTATGGGAGCGAGATCTAATGTCAATGGGTTCAATGTTTTGACTAGCAGGAATCTAAGCTCCATTATTCAATACAATGAGGATGTAAGTAGAGCTAGTACGAGTTCCCTTGGTTAAGGAATCGAGGTTTAAGTATGTCATATAACGGGGTTCCTCCTGTTCTAATATTGAGATTATTAAAGTATAGGAATCAAGGTCCTCAGCTGATTGGCCCGAGGTCCGCAAGTGCCATTACCAGGGATCCCTTATCAAGTGCCTCCCGCCCTTAACAATGGATTTATTTATTTTTGTGTGAATAACAACGGATTAATTATGTAACTCTATAAGTCAGTTTTCTTATGACCATTACATCTTCAGCCCATGACACAAATTTGGCGTGCACCATTCCTCTGAGTCCCCGGCAACCAAGAATCCTACCACTCAAGAGTCATCTTCTTTGAATGTAGTATCCTCTGCTTCCATTGTTTCTCACAGGTTGGCTCTCCGAAGAGGCCAGAGGACAAGATGAACTACTCTGTCTCTCGCTCTCTCTCTGACTGATGGAAAAGAAGCTTTTTAAAGCTTGAAATGAAAGCATATATTCCCGTCTTGCAACGGTAATCAGATTTAAGACTCTAAAACAATAAGACATCATAAATATAAGATTTTAAAGGAAATATATATTCTCACAATTAAGAGGGATGGCTTACACAACAAGACTTAAGAAAACAATGGGTCACTCTAGACTATACCTGTTCAACTTAAGAATCTAAAATAATGGAACTTCGTGCTATGCAAAAAAGGGACTGGAGTTTTTTTTTTTTTGAAACTGAAAAAAAGGGATTGGAGTTTAACATCATGGAATGGAACTTATGATTTCTAAATAATGGGAACTTTGGATAATTGCAATCTCTAACCTGGTATTATCCGTTAATGAAAGTAGAACCCACAAACATGGAAACCAAGATTTTAATGTACCAAAACCTTAGACCAAATGGTTGATGGGAGCAGGGATCTATTTCGAAATGGAACTGGATTCTACTGATGGATGGAATGTGGTCCCCCTTTTTTGGGAGGGAGATCCTAAAATTTCAAAAAGGGGTCCTTACAAGATCCGTTGCAGGAACCTTGGGATCGTCACCCTACCCACTAGGTTCCTTTAACTATGCCTTTGCCACATCTTTTCATGAATCTTGAATACATGACCTCAAATAGATCAAATAAGACTCATATAATGGTGATGATCGTTTCGTAGTCATCGTTTTACCTCAGGCGATATCTGGGATCTACTTTTGGAGAGGGAGACAGATCATTGCATTAGAAAAGATGAGTCCCCTCGTAATCATTTAGGATCAATATTTCAAATCAATGTTTCAGAAGGTACCATGTAGTGTCTAGGCCAGCTACATAGGTGCTTGGGGTTTGAGATGCCCCATAGACATTTGTATGCATATATGTGTGCTCCACGCATCAATATGCATGTCCAAAACCTTAGACCATGGTTGATGGGAGCGGGGATCTATTTCGAAATGGAACTGGATTTCACTGATGGATGGAATGTGGTCCCTTTTTTTTGGGAGGGAGATCCTAAAATTTCCTAAAGGGGTCCTTACAAGATCCCTTGCCGGAACCTTGGGATTGAGGTTCTGAAGTGGGATCGTCACCCTACCCACAAGGTTCCCTTAACTGTGCCTTTGCCGCATCTTTTCATGAATCCTGAATACATGACCTCAAATAGATCGGATAAGGCTCATATAATGATGATGATCGTTTTTTAGTCATCATTTTACCTCAGGCGATTTTTGGGATCTACTTTTGGAGAGGGAGACAGATCATTGCGTTAGAAAAGATGAGTCCCCTCGTAATCATTTAGGATCAATGTTTCAAATCAATGTTTCAGAAGGTACCATGTAGTGTCTAGGCCAGCTACATAGGTGCTTGGGGTTTGAGATGCCCCACACACATTTGTATGCATATATGTGTGCTCCAAGCACCAATATGCATGTACATGTATGTATGTAGCATGTGTATATATACACATACATAGATACACATATACATATGTATATGTATCCTAAAGGTATATATGAATTTATACACACCTGAAGCAATCATATATACGTGTTTGTGTGTGTGTACACACACACAATCAATTGGATTGAACTTTGAACTTCATTCGCATTTTACAATTTGCAAATTTGTAAATGTATGATGTAATACAACAACCATAAAGAGTAAAAGATTAGCAGTAGTGTTTCTAAAATCCATATTTTGGCTCTTAGCTTCATCTCCATGATCGTAATCTCAAAATACTTAAATATAGAAGGAATTAAGCACAAGTCCACATTCACATACCACAATATAGAGAAAAATGAAATATGATACAATGGGAACAATTTAGTCATTATCTTCTTTGTCATTGACTTCGAACCCAACACCTCAATTTGGTCCAGGATATCATCATCTAAATCATGCTCAATATAATGGCCCTCTACATTATCTTCCGACTGAGCCTCCTCCTCTATTTCCCTCCTTTGCTATGAACCAAGCATAATAGTCAATCTAACGGTCCCCTCCAAGGTCAGAAGCTGGCCTTGTAACCTCGATCATATCCCATGCAAACACCCATAAGGGAAGACCTCTTCTATTCCGGGATCAACAATCCACCCACTTGCATCATCTGTCATTTACTGCAATGGGATCCCTCTTGTCATGATTACTAGAATGCTCATCTAGACTTTGATTATACAATATGAAAGCAAACTCATTTGGTTTTGTTTGCTCAAGAGTTTTCCTTTTATTTGGGCATGTTTATTTATCAGAAAAGCCTTTAACGTTGAATTATTTCTTGAGGAAAATGTTTAGCAATAAATTTCTCTGAACATGTTTTCCCATGTTTGGTGCCTATATTAGTACGATGATGAAGAAAATAAAAGAAAGCTTTGATTTCTTTTGGATTGTATTTTCTTTTCTTTTTTTGTTTTGTAGGGTTATTTTGGAGATTTTTCTCTATAATGGATTTTTCTTGAATTTACATGAAATTCAAGGCGGTTGTTTTAAATTTTGGTTGCGAAAAAAATAATAATTAGGAGGGAAATGTTTGAATTTGAATTTGAATTCTTGTTTGGGAAGTGCTATCAGTGTTTCAAAAAGCGGATTGGCCAGCACTTGGGCGGCCGCCGAGGCGGTTCTGGGGGCCTGGGGGCATCGCCCAGGCCTAGGCGCTAAAAAAAGTGGATATCCCTGGGCCCTCGGGAACCTGCCGAGGCCCCCGCCTGAACGCACCTAGGCGACCGCCCTGAGCGGCTGCCTACGGCCTGCACTCTGCCCAGGGGCAGAAATGCCCCTCGTTGAGGCTATTTTGGGTCACTTTTTTAATACTAAAGGTACAAAATTGTGGGTTTTAGGTTCATTTGAAACCTAAAACCCATTATAGCCTATTTTAGAGAGAGAAAAACTCGAAAAAAAAATTTTCTATTGGGCCTCCCAGGTTTTGGGCACCCGCCTAGGCGCTAGGCGGCCTGGACTCCCCTGACTGCCTAGGTGCTGCCTAATGCTTTTTGAAATACTAAGTGCTATTGCGCATGGCTTGGGAAAGTGTATTTTGCATGACTTGGGAATGGGTAGAGTCCATTTAATATGAGAGGTTTGACTTAAGAGCCAAGCCATATCTATTAAAAGGGGGAGACCTTACCCTACTAGAAACCAATGTCTTTTCTGTAAATCTTAGAAAATCAAGAACTTAGTTCCCATTCGGAATGTCTTTGGACCCTCATACAAGCCATTGAAACCAGTGTTTCAAAAAGTGGACCGCCCAGCTCTTAGGCTGTCTAGAAGGCTTGGGTGCATTACCCAGACCTAGGCAGTGGTCCCTGGTCGGCTGCTCAGGGGCAGAAATAGCTTGTTTTTTTATTCTATTGAGTTTTTTTTGAAAAATAAAAGCTTTTAAGGGTGGGTTTTAGGTTCATTTGAAACCTAAACCCACAAGAACCCATTTTAGAGAGAGAGAAACCTAAAAAAAATTAGGTTTTGTGATTGTCATTGGATCGAAGTGTTTCTCAAAATTTCAAAAAATGGATCTAAACATCACCTAGGTAGATTAGATTTAGTTTTGGAGTTTTTTTAATCCTATTAGAGGGAGTTTTTGAATATTTTTGTACCAAAAAACATCTCAGAGGTGGAAGTTTGGAGTTTGAGCAATTAAAGTAAGTACAAAACTTTATTTTTTAGATTGCTTGTTTTATTTTGAGATGTCTTCTTCAGAATCCAGTCGAAGTGGAGATCCGAGTTGGAAATATGGATATAACCTGAATCCAAGTGACAAAAACTGCATTAGATGCAATTATTGTGAAAAAGATACAAAATGGGGCATAAACCGGTTTAAGAAACATCTTGCTCGTATTAAGGGTGATGTTGCCCTTTGTAAAAATGTTCCTAAAGCTATCAGAGAGGAGATTAAGCAATAAATGAGTTCTGTAAAACAAAAACAGGAACAAAATCCTTGTCTTTTGAATATATCTATTTCTGGTTCTGCTAGAAGAAGTGATCCGGGTTGGAAGTCTGTCATAACCAGAAACGAAATGATAAAAATTGCATAAGGGGTAATTTTTGTGAAAAAGATACCAATGGGGGTATTAATTGATTCAAGAAACACTTTACCGGTAGTAAACGGAATGTTGCTTCTTGTAAAAAGGTTCCTGAAGCGATTCAGGATGAGATTAGACAATTTCTGAATTATAAGAACCAGAAAATGATAAAAATGAGCCTTGTTCTATGGAAATATCTTCTCCAGGTTCTTCTAGAAGTGGTGATCCAGAATGGAAGTATGGTTATAGCTTGAATCCGAATGACAAAAATCATATTAAATATAATTATTGTGGAAAGGATACTAATGAGGTTATATATCGGTTCAAAAAACACATTGCCGGTATTAAGGGGGATGTTGCCCCATGTAAAAAATGTTCTTGAGGTTACTAGGGAGGAGATTATACAAAATTTGAGTTCAGGGAAGCACAAAAAGATAGAAATGGTTAGAGCTGCTAAGACTCTTAGGGCCTCATCTGCATATAGTAAGAGGGAGTTAGAAGAAGAGGAGGAAGATGCAGTTTCAGAAGAAACAGAGGAAGACGAGTGTTATATTGAAGAGGGAGATGACTTTGATGATGATGGCCTAAAATCTGATGCATATGATGAAGCTTACCCTACTCGTTTTGATGATGATGATGAAGACTGAAGAATGAAGAGTTGAAGACGCTTGAGTGCTTGACTCTTGGTGTTGACTGTTGAGTGTTGAATATTGTGTCTTAGACTGTTTATTTTTTGAATTTTTGTATATTAATATGGATTTTGGTCTTATGGATTATCAAAATTCTCTTCTCGATTTTTCCTCAATTCTTCATTCATGGAAATATTAAATATGGATTATGGATAGAATATTCAAATTATAATATTTGTGGTTAGAATATCAAAAATCTCCAGATTTGTATCAAAATTCTCTCTTTTTTTTAGTTTCAACTGGGCCGCCCAGGCTCTGGGCACCCGCCTAGGGGTTGGGCGGCCTGGACCCCCACGACCGCCTGAGTGCCGCCTAGCACTTTTTGAAACGCTGATTGAAAACTAGGCTTTCTTAGCTTCAACCCATTGTCTATGAATCGCGGTTAAGTTCCCATGTTTTCTGCTTGATTTTGAGCTATTTTTCTCTTTTTTTTTACTATTATGAATTGAGTGTTATCATAGTAGGAATCATTTTTTTTTGGATCTTGCCAATAGACGAGGATGTAGAGGCCGTGGAAGCCAAGGAGGAGGAGGTAGCGCTGTGCCAAGGGCAGAATATGAGGACTTATTGAGGAGCTTCAGTGAAATGGAGCAATTGTTGGGTCATCTTGTTCACTTTGATTGAGAGTTGGCACTTACGAAAGTGAGAATCAAGTGAAGAAAGTAAAAATCCCTTTCACAACCGAAGGAGAACCCTTCATTGGAGGATAGGTTGGTTCGTGCCCTAGCCAGGTCGGATCAAGGTGTGATGAGTGGATGTCCTTGAATTCTTGGGAAAAGTTCAGCCTGATGAGTTCTTGGACTGGATAAACAGTGTGTAGGCCTTCTTCGAGTGGAAAGATTTCGCGGAACAAAGGAAGATCAAATTTGTGGCTACCCGACTCAAGGGACAATGCCCAAATATGGTGGTTGCAGGTGCAACCAGTCGAGTGCGAAAGGAAAAGAAAGGCTAGCGACTAGGAGGAAAATGAAGTCATTCCCTAGGGAGAAATGCATACCCCTGGTTATGCGTAAGAATTGTAGGGTGTCCAGGAGTATATGGATGAATTGATCCCCTTTATGTGCCAGAATGAAGTCAATGAAAGTGATGACTAACTCGTTGCAAGGTATGTCAGTGGACTGAAACCTCAGATTCAAAATTAACTAATTCTGCCCCAGATTTTCAGTGTTTACTGAACATTGTTTCAATCATTTTCACCTAGCCAATAGCTATGTTTCCAACGCAAATCCCCACTCCTACTGTCCTACAAGAGCCTGAAGAAGGCATTTTAAAAGGACGAAAGATCTCAAATACAAAGATCTTTGATCCTCGATATTTTGGATGAATATCAATGTCTAAATCACCATAAATATCCTTCGATAACCTCTCTTGATAGTTCACTAGGAATCCTATTTGAAAAAATTGGGATTCAGAAAATTTCTTGTAGTTCTTGGATTTTGTTTATGTCGATCTTTTTTTAAAGAATCTTCTGATTTTGTTGTTTCTCTCTCAAATATAGGATTAAAAAGGTTTTGGTGGGGTTAGAATACCCCACAATCTGTTTTCCCACTTAAAACTGAAAAAAAGACTGTTTTGCCTACGACTTGAGGGCATCTTTGCGTTGGTTCATGGTTAACTGAGGCAGGCACCTATCTTGAGGAGCGAGGCGCTCGCCTATGTCCTGGCTGCCTCGTACTAGGCAAGGTGCCTACCTGCCCTTCCTTGAGGCACCACCTACGCAGCGAGGTGGCTGCTTTCTTCTCGAATGTTTAGGACCTCATTGATTTAGTCCCTTATCTATAATGAGGCTTGGAGTATGCAGTGGATGGATGGAATAAACCAATTTTTTAGAGGGAGATGTCTAATTTGATTTATGACACGCTTAATGATTGATTGTGAACTAAAACCTGTCTTGCCTTGTGAAAGACGTGGACTTGTTATTATACATGGCCTTTTTTATTTAAGTTGGTTAGAAAAGAAAACATAGGATATTTATTTTCAGAGTGCCTATGGTGACTCATATCATAAGCCATGGAATGTTTCAGTTATATCCATTATAACACTTGTAGAATATTGAAGGGTTTGGCTTGATATCTTTGGTCAATGATGCTAAATAGGTAAATTGAAGGTACAATTACCAAAGCCAGCGTGAGAGATAAAAAAGTTTTCTTAGTAAGGCATAGACAGCAACTGAATTTAGGCGGGATTGCTAAATCCTTTTCCACCTCAATAGAAAATTTCAAGAAGTTACAAAATTTGTAGTAGTGTTAGTTATAAAATTTCTGTCAATTAAGTTAAAGCATTATTTTTAACTACAATTAATAATAAAATTATTTTACATAATATACTGGTGATAACTCATGCTTTACGTTATTTTCATAAAAACATAATTGTGTTTATGAGTTTTAGTATTGTTGATAATTGCAAGTATCATTATAGTTATTACAAAGTAATTTATGAGTTTTAGTATTATTGATAACTGTATAAGCAATATATGATTGTTACAAATGTTGATAATTATAAGCTATATGGTATGTGATCGCTGCATACCAATGAAGCTGAAGGGCAAGTTCTATAGGATAGCTGTGGGACGAGCTTTGCTCTATTAGGCTGAATGTTGGGCGGACAAAAAACAATATACCCATGGAATGAGTGTAGCGGAGATGAGGTTGTTGAGATGGATGAGTGGCAAGACAAGAAAGGATAGAATTCAAAATGAATCCATTCGGGAGAATTTAAGTGTGGCACCAAGAGTAGACTTAGGTGGGCTGGCCATGTGTGGCGTCGACCAAGTACAACACCTGTTAGGAGGTCTGAGTAGTTGAAGTGGAAGAACTTAAAAGGGCAAGGGGTAGGGCCCAAAGCATATGGTTGGAAGTAGTTCGAAAAAATATCGGGACTTATGACCTCACTGAGGGTATGGTCTTTAATAGAGCAGACTGGGAGACCAGGATTCGTGTAGCCGACCCCAATTAATTGGGAAAAGGCTATGATGATGATGATTTTAGACATAGCTTATGCAGTACACGTAAAATTTAGTGATATTTATGAATATTCTCTTCATATTAACAAACTTGTAGGCTCCGTTGTGCCGAGAAATTTTAGTAATAGCGCCATTTGTTTCATGCACCCATTCAAGAGTGATGGACATTCTTGCTTGGCTCGTCTTAGAAATGCCTCCGAAGCATTTCTATGATTCCCAATAAAACAAACATTTCATCTATTCCCATAAATGGGGACTTCTTTGTTGTGACTTAACCACATAGGATTTAAAATTCTTCAGGATTACCCATAAAGGTAAGTAGGGCTATATCTTTGATATGACAACATTTCCAAAATGGCCATAGGTTTTGTAGTTATGCTCCTAAAATGTCCTGGTCATAGGAGCCTCAGGAGGTAATCTGTAATTGACAGTTTACTAATTATCTGTCAGTTTGTGCCTTATGCAATGCAATAGTTAAGGGTTAGTTTTGAAGCAGGGTTATGGAATGCTATGCAAGAGGAAAAAAGCATTTCGAACCCAAGGTGTGGCCAGGGATAGTGTGATGTGAGTGGCACCTTCCTTTTTTCGAGTTAGCTTATCAAGACTTTCATGGGGAAAAAACAAACTGTGGTACGGTTGTAACATACATAAAAAAAGTGAAAGTACTTTATTATTTAAGGGTGTGAGTGTGCACCACAGTTTTTATGAATTATATGATATTTACAGTCTTCTGAATTGATTATTGCATTATTCATAGTATATTTTAAAATGTCTTTTTGTGTGCAGATAAGAAGGATGCTTGTTTTAATCTTATCGTATTTTGCGTGCACATATACTATTGATCTTGTTTCCTTGCTTTCTTCCATTTTTCATTTGTCTTCGTTTTTTGGTGAACTACCTGGAGGGTCACTCATGTTTACAAATCTGTACTTTTGCTAGGTTACAAATGCCCCAGAGATTCATTCGAATGGATTTCATGTTAAGTTTGATATCAGTAAAGGTCAGATTGGTTTTGTTCTGCCAACTAATATTCCTCCTTGTGACATGAAAATTTTCAACAAGCATGTAACTAATGGGGATGATCAACTAGATACTGCCAGCTGGAACACGTGCATTGTGCTTCCTTTCAAATCAAAACCTGAAGAAGGAATTCCTTTGGACTCATTGATGTCCATGTTTTCAGATCTCCATCCATCTTTGTTGCTATTTCTTCATCGCCTTCGGTGTATTATATTCAGGAATTTGCTTAACGATTCTATCACTATCTTGCGAAGAGAGAGTGTTGGTAATGGGATCATTCGGGTTTCACATGGCAACCAGCGAACAGATTGGCTGGTGGTTAGTCAAGAACTGAAGCCACACATTGCTCGTACTGGCGTACAATCTACAGAAATTGCCTTGGCCTTCACGCTGCAAGAATCTCCTGATGAAGGTTATACCCCACATCTAGAATTGCAACCTGTTTTTGCTTATCTTCCGTTGAGGACTTACGGGCTGAAGTTTATTCTTCAAGGTGACTTTATTCTTCCTTCTTCTAGAGAGGAAGTCGATGGAGATAGTGCATGGAATCAATGGTTGTTGTCAGAGTTCCCAACTTTATTTGTCAATGCTGAAAGATGCTTCTGTGCACTTCCGTGTTTCCAAGGGAGTTCGGAAAAAGCCGTTACTGCTTACTTTAGTTTTGTTCCAATGCCAGGTGAAGTGCATGGGTTTTTTTCGCAACTTCCTCAAATGATTATTTCTAAGTTACGTGCATCAAATTGCTTGCTTTTGGATAGGAAGAATGCTGAATGGGTTCCTCCCTGTAAGGTCTTGAAAGGTTGGGATGAGCAAGTGCGCTGCCTTATACCTGAAAGCCTGCTTTTCAGTCATCTCGGCCTTGGTTATTTGCATCAGGAACTTTTCTTATCAGATCCTTTAGCAAATGCTTTAGGGGTTCAGAGCTATGGGCCAAAAATTTTATTTGAACTCATGGTGTCATTATGTCGCTCCCATGAATGTATCAAGTCAATGGGATTGGACTGGTTGATCTCATGGCTTGTTGCTTTCCATGCTTCCTTGTCCATCCCTTGTACCATAGGTCAAAGTTCTTTTAATGGAAAAGCAGAATCTCAATATATATGTGCTCTTGGAAAAATTCCGTTCATTCCTCTTTCAGATGGATCATATAGCTCACTGGAGGAAGGATCAATATGGATGCCTTGCAGGGCCTTCAGTGATGGGCTTCATGATGAACCTCTCTATGAAGAGTTTCCTTATTTATATGCTGAGCTTCGTACAGTGAATCCACGCCTTATTTCTAGTCGGACACTAGATAGTAGAAGTATGGAAGAAAACCAAACAAATGTCGTTATTTCGATGCTTCGAAGGATTGGAGTCCAACGATTGTCAGCACATGAAGTTGTCAGATCACATATCTTGAAGGCCATACCTTATTATGGCATCATGTCCAAGGACAAGTGCTTGATGGCAGAATATCTGGCCTTCACAATGCTCCATCTTCAGTCTAACTGTGAGAGTTGTCACATTGAGAAGGCCGAAATGATTTCAGAACTTCAGAATAAAGCCATTGTTCTCACAAGTAATGGTTATAAATGCCCTGGCAAGGAATCGATACACTTCACTGAAGAGTTTGGTAGTCATGTTGATATAAAGAAAATAATTGAAGATACTGGTGTCTTGTGGAATGAAATTGACAACATCTATCTGAATTATCCTGCCATGGATACTTCATCTTCTAATCTTGTGAAGTGGAGGAATTTCTTTGTGGAACTGGGTGTAACTGACTTTGTGCAGATAATTCAAGTTGATAGGGAAATTGTAAGTGATTTTGGTTCCAGTGGGAATAATAGTATTTTTGATGGAAACCATAGTTCATCACGTTGCATTGTGAAGGATTGGGAGGCGCCCGAATTGGTCAACTTATTAACTGCTTTGTCGTCGTGTCAAAAGCATGACAAGTGTGAATACCTATTGAAAGTTCTTGACGACCTTTGGGATGACTACTTCAGCACGAAAGTGGCAAGATATGGCCCTTTCCACCCCATTGATAATGGAAAACCCTGTCAGCTGTCATTTATCAAATGTATGCATCAGTTTAAGTGGGTAGTATCTACTATGGACAAAGAACTTCACTATCCTAAAGATCTTTTCTATGATTGTGAGATAGTCCGATCTATATTGGGGCCATTTGCTCCATATGTAGTTCCCCAGGTTGGCTTCGGACTTTCTGATGTTATAATTTTTCCATGTGTGTTCGAGTTCGGGGGATATTTGTTAGAAGTTACATTTTTCTGCCCTACTTTTGTTTTGGTTTTTCCCTTTTGAATCTTCGACTGGAAGTTAAGGGGAGTAGATTTTTGTTGTAATTATCTAGTTCATTAGGGAACTTTTTTATTTTGATGTGGTCCCAATCCTTCATTCCAGTAAGCAATTTGAATGGCAGTCCTTACTGTAGCATCCCCAATCTGATCCAACATTGTTATATTGGACCATACAGGTGAAAAGTAAAAAGTTTTTGGATGTCATTGGATTTAAGACCCGTGTTACGCTTGATGCTGCTCTTGCAGTTCTTCAGTCATGGAGATCATCCAAAACTCCCTTCAGGGCCAGGTATGGTTTAGTTTATCATTTATTCCTTTATATGCACATGCCCATACACTCATTTGTCCTGTGCATGGTTGTCGTTTACCCTCTCAAATGACAGACAGACACACATTCATGTCAAACATCCATGCATTTTTGCAATCATCTGCTAATTCTTTGTTGTGGTCTACTCAGTTCAATTATTGTGATTGAAAAAATTAAAAAATAATCTTCCCGCCTGTAGATACCATTGTTATCCATGTTGCAGCAATTCATCTATGTACCTATTTTGTCTGATTTGTCTCCTTGTTTAACACCTTGGGTTTCCTTGATCATATACTTATTTTGGTATTGGTTGTTTGTCTTGCTTTTGTATGGCCAATGGCAGCACAGTGATTTCTGTCTGTGTAAGTTCCTTACTCTGTCATCATTTGTTTGTTGTATCTGTTACCTATTTGAATGAGAATTTATATTTAACAAAACATAAGTTGCAATTTGGTATTAATAGGTCCATAATTTTGGGGTAAATATGTATTTTTAAATCACTCCAGCCCCTTGTGTGTGCTTTCTACTTTTTCTACAGCATCTGTCAGTTTGGAATGGACTGGAGAAGTATCTAGATGCTGATCTCTCCTTCACAAAGCTGCCTGTTTGGATGATAGTTACTTCTATCAATGAAATATTTCTTTCGCTAAATTTAGTATATTCATTAGATTATAAATATGTTATTTGTTTGGCGGTTACTGTTATATATGCAAGTCTATATGCGTATTATGTTATATGTTGTTTGGATGAGTTGATCTTGGCACCACATTGACACCACTTCTCTCTTTTCATTGGTAATACAATGTATTAAGTTGCTCCAATTCTCAGTAGAAAGAATCCCACATTAATGTAAAATATTAATTCAATATTCCTTCCACAGAGATAAAAACAGGCAGTTTGTGATCAAAATAGGTCAAGAACATCCTTGCAATCTCCAGGGTAAGCTGTGAAGCTTGGTTTGGAATTTGTGTCATTTCTCTATCTCCTAGGAGCATTTGTGTCGTTGAAACAGTGGTTTTTATCAACGTCTTGTAACGCCTGCAACAAAAGTAAGGCAAGTACCTATCAAAATTTAACCACAACCAATAAGTAGATGCTATAATTAAAGATAAATGAACACTGTTTTTCATCCTATTGTTGCAGTATGCAACAATCAATAAAGAAAATTACACCCAATTCAAATACACCCAATTCAAAAATAACAACTAAGTAGACAATATAATTAGATATAAGAAAAACTCTTTTCGTCGTATTATTAGAGTACATAAAGATATGTCTGCCCAACACATTGAACATGAAAAAACCATGCTAATGATCTTTAGCTTGATCATTAGATACACCAGAACTTCAAAAATTCAAATAAATCTGAAAAACTCAATTTCATGTACAGTTCCTTGCCTTATGGGCCCACTGAAATATTCATCAATTCATCATTTCAATGCGCTGAAATCTTAAAGCGCTTTTATATAAGGATGTGGTTTCTACAGGGCCTAGCCCTTTTGAGAAAAAGTAAACCCTTACCTCAAGACCTCGTCCAGCTAACACTTCAGATATAAGTATACCCTATGGTGGCTCTAAATCTATTTATGAAATTTGTTGCTCAAAAAAGGTTATAGATCTCACAGATACCTGAACACTTGAAAATGGGATATGGAGAATGTGTTACAATATATATTATTTTTAGGGATTGGAATATTTATTTTTCACATCCATAATAGTCAAGGTGGAGATGATTGATTTGAAGGTTTTCTGACTCCAGAACTTAAATTCTTGGTCAGATTTTAGACACCGCTTGACCTTTTTTAATAAGGCCTAGGCTTTTTTTTATCCTTTCCCATTATATGAAGACTCTGGGAGAACATCATTGGCATGAGTTTAGAGACAAAATTGCAATTTTTGTAACATTACCAAGCAATGCATAAATTTTTTGATGAAGGTTAACATTGTATTACTGAGAGAGAATAGTACAATAGATAGAGAGCCAAGTTCACCCCTTAGGGGGTGAACTGGAAAGTATCATGTACAGAATGGGCTTATAAGACCGTCCTAAGTAAAGTTTACATGAAGCTTACAAAAAATAAGGATGGGGGGGGGGGGGGGCTAAACAAAGCATGAGAGGAGCTATGGAGACGTGCTGAGCCGGAGGCCTTGTGCAAAAACGGAGACGACCCCAGCTTGGTCGTGAAGTTGCCTACTAGCTCCCTCTTTTGCCAGATGGTACGCGAAGTCGTTGGACGTCTTCCATGTATGCCGCCATCAGACGTCCATACCCCTGCAAAGATGTTCAATTTCCTCAAATGTAGTGATGAGATACCAAGCGGGGGAGACATTTTACTAGCCCATGAGATAACATTTTTTGAGTCTCCTTCTACAAAGAGATCTAGTCCCCAAGAACGGTTAAACTTTTCATGCCTAGAAGGAGAGCAAAGGCTTCAGCGATTTGGGCTTCCATGGGGCCAAGGTGCTCTGAGAACTAAAGGATAACGTTGCCTTGGTAGTCTCTAAAGACCCCCCCAGCCCCTGTCGGTCCTGGGTTCCAATTAAACTTGATGGTTCCTTCTTGGGGTGGCTGCCAAAAGCTGGATCTCTGAGGTTGTCTTGGGTAGTGGAAGAGGATATTATGCCATTGAGGAACGAACTGAGTCCTTGGAATCCCAGAGAACAATTTGTGGTTTGCTGCCCAGAAGGAAACCAAAGATAAGGCCTTGTGCAGGAGGGCTGAAGTTTGTACTTTCGAGCTTCAGAAAATTCGATTATTCCTTTCCAGCCAAATATTCCACATGGTAGCTGCTAAGGTGGTCTTCCAAAGGGCTCTGCCAGCCTTCAGCCAAGGTGTATGAAGCTCTTTAGAAATGAGAGACTTAACTGTAGGAGGCATGACCCATTCGATGCCGAATAATTGTAAAATCTGTCCCCAAAGATCAAAAGAGAAATCACAGTGAAGAAAAAGGTGGGGGTTAGACTCCTCTCATCTTTTTCGCAAAGGGTGCATCTGTTGGGAAGATGAATCCCTCGTTTCTGAAGATGATCTATAGTAAGGGCTCTATGAGAGCAGGCTAGCTGGTTGAACGTTTGGACCTTAGGTGGGGCAAGGGTAGTCCACACTTTCGATGAAATAGTAGTGGGGTTGGTCGGGAAGGTAGGGGGTTGAGCTAATAATTTATAGAAAGAGGCCACTAAAAACTCACCCGAGGGAGTTGGGGTCCAAAGTATAACATCTCTCCCTAGGTTGGAAAAAAAGTGAGAGTGAATGCCAGAATGAAGAAGTTGGAATTGGGTGATCTCCTCTTCGGTAAGGTTCCTCCTAAAAGAAGGGTTCCAGGTTCGCCTTGCACTTGTGAGGACCACTTCTTCCGCCACTGTAGCTTCTTGGTTGACCGCCAACGAAAAGAGAGCTAGGAAAGCGTCCCTCAGAGGTGAAGAGCCCAGCCAAAGATCTGACCAGAATTTCACCCGAGATCCCTCTCTTGGAAGAAACCTTAAATGTTTTTTGAAGAGAGAGAAGGTCGAGGAGAAAGATTGCCATGCCTCTGAAGCGTTATACCTATGGGAATTGTCTGGCACCCGGGCTCCTTCAGGTATCCTATACTTGTGTCTGAGAACTTGAGCCCACAAGGAGTCTAGCTGGGTAGCTAGACGCCACCACCACTTGCCTAACAGAGCAAGGTTATGTTTTTGGAGAATCCTAATACCTAGACCACCCTAGTTTTCGAAAGGCAGATATTGTCCCAAGCAACCAGATGAAATTTATTCTTCTGAGCTTGCCCCGACCAAAGGAAGTTTCGCATAAGCTGGTTCAAACAATTAGCCACTAAAGCAGGCATGTGGAAAAGCGACATCAGGTAGACAGGAGAGTTAGATATCGTAACTTTTATAAGGGTAGTCCTGCCTGCCATAGAGAGAAGATGGCCCTTCCATCCAACCAAGCGCCTATCCACCCTATCGATAACTTGGGACCATTGTCTAGTTTTGGGTTTGCCTAGCCCAAGCGGGAGGCCAAGATACGTAGTGGGTAGGTCCTCCACTTTGCATTCCCAGTTGCAGATGACCCTCTAATCTCGGCATTAAAAATAGCTCCCCCCATCATTCTTGATTTTTCGAAGTTAACTTTGAAGCCGGTTGCTCTTTGGAAGCATTTGAGGAACAGGTACAGGTTATTCACTTCCCTAGGGGAAGCATCTAGGAACACCAAAGTGTCATCTGTGTATTGCAGATGAGTAATTGTAGGACCTAGTCTACTGCTCTTGAAGCTGGAGAGAAACGCTGCCGAAAACACTCGGGATAAGGCTCAACTAAAGACTTCGGCAGCTATAGAAAACAGAAAAGGTGGTAGAGGGTCTCCTTGGCGAAGCCTCCTAGAAGAAGAGAAGACCCCTCTAAGGGCCCATTGATAAGGACAGAAAATTTTGGGTGCGAGTAGCAACCACGCATCCACTTCCTCCAACGGCTACGGAAGCCCATTTTGAGCATCGTCTCTTCCAACCAGGTACAGTGGCAGAAGAATTCAACAGGCTGATGGGGCCAAATCCTTAATTTCCTCTGCTCCTTCCACTTTGGGAACTAATGCAATGAAAGTAGTGTTAATTGCTTTGTGCAGGTTACCCCGAAGGAAAAACTCATCGAAATAGAGTTTAAGGTTGGTACGAAAAATGTCCCAAAACGCCTTAAAAGGTGCTATTGGGAAACCGTCTGGGCCGGGGGCTTTGTCCTTAGCAAGAGCATCAATTCCTAGCAGAATCTCTACTACTGAGAAAGGTCTTTCTAACCACTGTGCCCTATCGTCAGAGAGACTCAAAAAGTCCAGAGATGACATTCTGGGTCTAGGCCCATGGGGAGCTGTGTAAAGGGACTTAAAAAAGTCTACAATCTAAGACCATGATCAAATTTCTTGATGAATTACAATCTAAACATTCGTAGAGAAAAAAGAAAAAAAGAATCACTACCACCACTTTACTAATTTTGAGAGAGATTAGGTTAGATAG